CCCACGATAACCTCAGCTTAAATTTCTATCCATCTATTCTCCTCCGCTTGTCCTTTTATGGGTCGCGGGGGGCGGAGCCTATCTCTTTTCTCAGTTATTGATTCGGTCTTGAATACCTCCCCGCTTTCCATATAGATAGCTCCACTGAAACTTGCGATAGGTTCTTGCAGTTTTTTATTAATAAGATAGAAAGGCTTCGATCTACATCTACCCTGTAATACTATTTATTATCTCTGTATAATGTCTCACTAACATATACCTCCTCAACTGCTTTTGACCAGTTTGAGGCTGTACATCTTAACCAGGTGGATCTTTGCAATAGCATAAAGACATCATCCTGCCCTTCAGATGGAGTCCCAACCCATTTTCTAAAAAAGATTATTAAGGTAGTTGGTCTGACATTTTAACTATTTTTAATAGTCTCAGCTCTGGAGTGGTACCAACTGGATACAAGCACGCTGTAGTGCAGCCAGTGCTTAAAACACCGAACCCTGATTCTTCTGTTTCTAAGCTTCTGTTTCTGTCAGACATTTCAGAAAGGATGGTATTTGAGCTGCTACAAACCTTTCTAAACAGTTATAATATTTTTGAGAAGTTCCAGTCGGGCTTCAAAACCCACCACAGCACAGAAACTGCCCTCCTAAAAATACTTAATGATATTTTATTAATCACTGACTCAGGAGACCCAGCTGTGCTCCTGCTCCTAAACTTAACTGCAGCCTTTGATCCTGCTGACCACAGCAGTCTGATCTGGAGCAATGTGGTATCAAAGGTTTCCCCTTGGAACGGTTTAGGTCGTACCTCTCCGAGAGGACTTTTTCCGTGAGCCTTGATGATTTCATTTCTTCTCCAGCTCCTTTTACTTGTGGTGTCCCGCAGGGATCCGTATTAGGCCCAATTCTTTTTTCAATCTACATGTTGCCCTTAGGCCTAATCTTTAGGAAGCATCTGCTTTCACTCATATGCCGACGACACCCAGATTTATCTTCGGTTTAATAGAAACACCTCCACGCCCGTGGAAGCGCTAGTCAAATGTCTCAACGAAGTTAAAACCTCAGATTTTCTTACCTTCAACGAGGATAAACTGAGGTAATTATTTTTGGACAGATCTGGACTTATGCAACCGAACATGTGCTGTTAAAACGCATGTAAAAAACCTGGTGGTTTTCTTGGAGAGCAAACTTACATTCGAGAAACAAATTAATTCAGTTGTCCAGCGGTCCTTTTTTAAATTAAGGCTCCTATCCACAGTGAGATCTTTTTTATCTTTTAGAAACTTGGAACGAGCAATTCATACGTTCGTTTTATCTCAGCTGGATCACTGCAATTCACTATATGTGGGTGTCAGTCAGTCCAGCTCGGCAGCTCGCCTCTTGACTCGTGTGAAGAAACACCAACATATTACTCTGCTTGCTTCCCTTCATTGGCTTCCAGTGCATTTTAGAATTAAATTCAAAATCTTACTTTTGACGTATAAAGTGCTAGTTGGCCAGGCACCGGACTATTTGTCTGACCTATTGCAGCTTTATACGCCCTCTAGAGCCCTTCAATCACGCGATCACCTCCTTACCTCACATAAGTCTAGGATGGTTCATAGAGGAGATGTGGAACAATCTACCTCTCCACATTAGAAAGGCCCCGACTGTTACTCTTTTTATTAATCGCATCTTAAAACATATTTTTTTACTCTGGCTTTTGAAACTGCATGAGAGTTACCAAATCTTTGATCCTAATTTTCTTTTAACTTTCTTACCTGTCGTTGTTGTCAATGTCATTGTTTAACTGTTACTCTGTACAGCACTTTGGTCAGCTCCCTGTTGTTATTAAACCTGCTTTATAAATAAATAAATGAAATCTGGACAGTTACAGTTACACGTGACAGTTAATTGGTAACTTTAAATCAGGTGTGAATATGGTTGCCTGTCTCTGTCTGTCCCGTCCACACTGAGATGGAAAACGCAGCGTTTTGAAAACTCTCTTTCATTTGAAGATGGCGCGTTCACGCCGCAGTGTGGACAGCGAAAACAGAGACTTTCAAAAACGATGACGCGTGTTCGTCATATGATGCAGTCATGTGACCAGTTAAACTAAGACAGCGGAGGGCAGCAGTTGTTGTGTTTGCTCTCAGCTCTGACAGCCCTATTAAAGATTTAGATAGATAGAGATAGATAGAGATAGATAGAGATATAGAGAGATAGAGATATAGAGAGATAGAGATAGATAGATAGATAGATAGATAGATAGATAGATAGATAGATAGAGATAGATAGAGATAGAGATATAGAGATAGATAGAGAGATAGAGATAGATAGATAGATAGATAGAGAGATATAGATACAGAGATAGAGATAGATAGATAGAGATAGATAGATAGATAGATAGATAGATAGAGAGATATAGATAGAGAGATAGAGATAGAGAGATATAGATAGAGAGATAGAGATAGATATATAGATAGATAGAGAGATATAGATAGAGATAGATATATAGATAGAGAGATAGAGATAGATAGATAGATAGAGAGATAGATAGAGATAGATAGAGAGATAGATAGATAGAGATATAGAGATAGATAGATAGATAGAGAGATAGAGATATAGAGATAGAGATAGATAGATAGATAGAGATATAGAGATAGATAGATAGAGAGATAGAGAGATAGAGATAGAGAGATAGATAGAGAGATAGAGATATAGAGATTGATAGATAGATAGATAGATTTGCATGTTCAAAATAAATTATAAT